CCGCGTCTCAGGGTGCTCGTCCCGCGGGTGCCCGGCCGCTCGCTCCCGACCTGCGTGTCTGCGGCAACGTATTCACGTTAACCTGTTTCTGCCTGAAATGAGTGTGGGTCACAGGAAGTTCCCGTCTCTCCCAGGCGTCGCTTCAATTCATTTTATTTTCATTTATTTCCGAGAGGAAGGGGGCGGGAGAGAGAGAGAGAAGCTTAAATGATGAGAGAGCCACGGACCGGCTGCCTCCTGCACGCCCCCCACTGGGGATCCCATCCCCAACCGGGGCCTGTGCCCTGCCCGGAAAGCGAACCCTGACCTCTGGGGTCATAGGTCGACGCTCAGCCCCTGACCTGAGTCCCGCCGGCCAGGCCAGGCCTTAGAACCCCTCCTGGGCCCGGGGAGGGGGTGCCCTCTCCCCTCACAGAACCCCTCCTGGGCCCGGGGAGGGGGTGCCCTCTCCCCTCACAGAACCCCTCCTGGGCCCGGGGAGGGGGTGCCCTCTCCCCTCACAGAACCCCTCCTGGGCCCGGGGAGGGGGTGCCCTCTCCCCTCACAGAACCCCTCCTGGGCCCGGGGAGGGGGTGCCCTCTCCCCTCACAGAACCCCTCCTGGGCCCGGGGAGGGGGTGCCCTCTCCCCTCACAGAACCCCTCCTGGGCCCGGGGAGGGGGTGCCCTCTCCCCTCACAGAACCCCTCCTGGGCCCGGGGAGGGGGTGCCCTCTCCCCTCACAGAACCCCTCCTGGGCCCGGGGAGGGGGTGCCCTCTCCCCTCACAGAACCCCTCCTGGGCCCGGGGAGGGGGTGCCCTCTCCCCTCACAGAACCCCTCCTGGGCCCGGGGAGGGGGTGCCCTCTCCCCTCACAGAACCCCTCCTGGGCCCGGGGAGGGGGTGCCCTCTCCCCTCACAGAACCCCTCCTGGGCCCGGGGAGGGGGTGCCCTCTCCCCTCACAGAACCCCTCCTGGGCCCGGGGAGGGGGTGCCCTCTCCCCTCACAGAACCCCTCCTGGGCCCGGGGAGGGGGTGCCCTCTCCCCTCACAGAACCCCTCCTGGGCCCGGGGAGGGGGTGCCCTCTCCCCTCACAGAACCCCTCCTGGGCCCGGGTGGGGGTGCCCTCTCCCCTCACAGTCCCTCCTGGGCCCGGGTGGGGGTGCCCTCTCCCCTCACAGTCCCTCCGGGCCCCGGGCGGCTGCAGGTCTGTGGGACCAGGTCCCTGGGTGGCCGCGGGCCTTAGGGACTAACAGGGCACGGTGAGCAGGCGCCCCTCCTCCCAGGAGCGCCCCTTGTAAAGAAGAGAAGGGCGCTCCAGAGCACGCTGCTCGGACTTCCGCCCCCCGCCCCGAGTTCTGGTCATTGATGGACCTTGTGGGCAGGACGCCCGCCCGATGGGGACCTAACGTGTGCGTCC